TAAACCCTAAACCCTAAACCCTAAAGTCTAGACCCTCGCCACCCACCACCTGGCCCCAAGCGCTCGCCGCAGGGCGCCCTCTCGCCCGCGCACTCTCCCCACTGTCCACCCCCAAACCCCAAACCCTAAACCCTAAACCCTAAACCCTAAACCCTAAACCCTACCTGCAAAACCCGATTTCGAGCAGCTCCGTGAGCAAGTCCACGGAGTCCTTTAAGTCCCTTTTATTTGGAGAGCAAATCAACAAAGAAGCAAATTCGAACTGCAGCCGGGGACAAGGGCAGCCGCTCTCCACTTGCTGCAGCCAAACCCTGAACCCTAAACCCTAAACCCTAAACCCTAAACCCTCAATCCTGGGTCCTGGATCTTGAACTACAGCTGCACGACATATATGCATGAGCGCACGAGTAGAGGTCTGGAAAAGCAGCAGCAGGTGAGCAGCAGCAGCAAGTGAGCAGCAGCAGCAAGTGAGCAGCAGTAAGGGAGCAGCAACAGCAGCCTAGCGGAAGCAAAAGCAGCAACAGCAACGCAGCAGCAGCAAATGGAAAGCAACAGCAACTAGGCAGCAGCACCAACACAGCAGCAGCAGCAACTAAGCAGCGACAGCAACAAAGCAGCAGCAGCAACAAAGTAGCAGTAGCAACTAAGCAGAAGCAGCAGCAACTAAGCAGCAGCAGCAGCAGCAGCAGAACAACAGCAAGGCCAGAATGTCCCACCTCGATGTACTTGGCTCTTAGGGCGTCTGTTTCTGCCCTGAGATCGAAGCCGAGGGCCCCGCTCATCTTCTGACCAAACCCTAAACCCTAAACCCTAAACCCTAATCCCAAAACCCTCGCCGCTGCGCTGCAAACCCCCATGCGCGGCCAGGGAGAAGCAAAAGGAGCTTTTGGAAAATGTAATGGCAGCAGAAATGCAGAAAAGCAAAACAGGAAAACGGGGGCAAGAGGTTAGGGTTGCTGAGGTGTACATACACCTCAGCGGCTAAGGCGCGAGCCGACAGCCGCAGAAGTTAAGGCGCTGCTGCGCAGCCTCGGGCCTCAACCGAAGCCCTCAGTGGAAAAACCCTAAACCCTAAACCCTAAACCCTAAACCCTAATTTCGGGGATTGTGTGCAGGACACGGGGGCGGCGCAGCTGCTGTGCGGCGCTCGGCGCCCCCAGCCCCAGCAGCTGCTGCAAGTGGATTTGGTTCTTCTGCTGCATTTTCTCTTCTTCTTGGAAGAGAACTTGTTAAATAATATTCTAAATTTGCAAAAAGGAAATTAGAAACGCTTCTGTGCACCCCCGAGTGCCGGAGGCTGCCGTTTCTGGCTGCGCACGGCTGCAGGAGCTGCGTGTACACCTGAAAAGCCCAGGTGTATGTACACCCCAGCGCCCTCCCCGCGACTCCCAGCTGCTTATTTTTCGTCACTTCTTTTCTTTTTGTTCTTCTAAATGCTTCCCTGGCTGCTGGCTGGGGCAAACGAGTCGTTCACTGTGCAGTCTTGAGGTGTATAGACAGCTCGCAGCAAAATGCTCACGGTGGCCACCCGGGGCTTCGCAAGGCGCCCCACAGCAGCAACGACTGCAGCAGCAACAAGTGCTGCAGCAGTAGCAGCGGGACCCCCCGCAACTGCAGCAGCAGCAACAACAGCAGCAGCAGCCACAGCAGGCACCCCCAGGCTCTTCTCGGGCGTCAAGTTTCTTCAGCAAAAAAGGTCGGGCGAGGAAACTGTCTACTTCAAGAAAGAAGGCAAGCCACCCGCTGCTCCTACCGCTGCTGCTGCTGCTGCTGCTGCTGTTGCTGTTGCTGCTGTTGCTGTTTGAGGTCCACATGCATTAGCGAAGGCGTTGCTTGCTGCGGCGGCCAAGTGTGCTGCTGCTCAAAGCAGCAGCAGCAGCAGCAGGAGTGTATTTGAAGGGCAGCTGATTTTATTTGCCGTAAATGCTGCAAGTCTTTATGAGACATTTTGCTGGCTTTTGCTGCTGCACTGCAGCAGCAGCAGCAAATGGCTGCTTCCGGCCTTTGTGTCTGCGCTTTTGGGGTGTACGTACACCCGAGCGCTCCCCGCAAATGCAATTAAATAATTAAAAATAAATAAATAAATAAATAAGTAAATGAATTATAAACAAACAACGTAAATATAATTCAGTTGTGAAATATATAATTATATATAATATTCCTGTTCCTGTATAAATGCGTAAGCATTATACATTTCCAAAAGTTTCATTTAATAAAACTTTTCAAAGTTTTACAAATCAAAACTTTAAAGGTTTTATTTAACAAAAGCCCTCAACAAAATAAAAATCCACTTCAAATTTGCCAAAACTTCCCGGGAACGCCGCCGCTGCTGCTGCTGCTGCTGCTGCTGCGCTGCTGCTGCAGACGAGGCGTTGCTGCGGCGGCTGCTGGCGAAGCACCCCGAGGCGGACCCGCGGTACCGCAGCGCGGGGGGCCCCGCGCTGCTGCAGCCGCTGCAGCAAGCCATATCTCTTGCTGCAGCAAAGCATTTTGCTGCTGAAGCTCCCAAGGCTTTTCTGGAAGAGCTGCCGCTGCTGTTTGCTGCTCACGGCTGGCAGCCGCCCCCGGAGCAGAGGGCCCTGCTGCAGCAGCAGCAGCAGCAGCAGCAGCGGCAGCAGCAGCAGCCCCACGGCCACAAACAGGACGGCTAGCTGGCTCGCTAGCTAGCTAGCCCGCTGGCCAGCTGGCTAGCCAGCTGGCTAGCTGGCTAGCCAGCTGGCTAGCTAGATGACTAGCGGGCTGGCGGGAGCGGAGGAGAGTTGGCCAGCTAGCTGGCTAGCTGGCTAGCTGG